ATATATATGTATATATAATATATAATGGTAGCACATAATGTATATTATATATAATGTATATACTATTTCCAGTTACACATACATACACATATATGCAAAGAAATCTAAAATAATATTTCTAATATATGTTAATAGTGGGTATCTCTGGGTAGTGACATTATGGGTGAGATTAGATTTTGTAATTTCCAAATTTTTCTCATGGAGTTAGGGTATTCGTTTTCTACTGATGCTGTAAAGATTATCACAAATGTAGTGGTTTAAGTGATACATATTTATTACCTTACAGTTCCCTCAGTCTCCTGGGGCTGAGCTTGAGGTCTTAGCAGGACTGTATTCCTCTCTGGAGGCTCAAGGGGAGAATCTGTTTCGTTGCCTTTTCTTGCTCCTCCTGGCTGCCTGAATTCCTTTGCTTTCTTGGTATCCTTTCTCAATGTCCAAAGCCAGCAAAGGAAGAGTGAGTTCTTTTTGAACCCTTTGTCTATGCTCAGATCTTTCTCTAACCCAGCCAGAAAGGTTCTCTGCTTTTAAGGACTCCTGTGGTTTCACTGGGTCCACCAAGATCATCAGGGTCATCATCTCTCCGTGACAATGCTGATGACCTTGATCACACTGCAAAATCTCCTTTGCCTTGTCAGGTGAGGTGGGTTCTGGGGCTAAGCAATGGATGTATTTGGGGGTGGAGGAGACGTTGTTTTGCTAACCATCTTTGGTGCTATTTTAATTTTTAGAACACACACATGCTCTTGCATAAAAGGAAGAGGCTTATATTATTTTTATCTTCATCATCGTTACCATCGTCTACATCTTTTATTAACTCCATCAGTCACTAGTTAAGTCTTTGGAAACAGTCTACTTTAGAACAAGGGTCTGCACAAGAGGACCCACAGGCAAAATCCAGCCTACCACCTGGTCTCGTCAATAACATTTTCTCAGAACACGAATACTCTAATTTGTGTACTTATTGTCCATGGCTGGGTTTTGTGCTCAACTTCAAAGCTGAGCAGTTGCAAGACAGACCACTGGGGCTATGGAGCCTAAGAGATTTGCAATCTGACCCTTATCAGAAAAATATCTGCTCATGTGGGCTTTAGAACTTTAAATCGTTGCTTCACTATGTCAGATTAAAACTAAAATTTGAGTCAGAGGAGATATTTTGCTTTAGAGCATGGCGGGGTTTCCAGGGTCCTCATGACCATCCTGCCTTTCACAGAGAAGATGCTTGAGACCCGAGAGGTGAAGGGGCTCCCAGGGGCTACTCCAAAGCCACACGTGCTGCCTGCAGAAAACCACCTGATTGAAGCTCCCTGGGTTTCACCTCTACCTTCTGCTTCAGTGTTTTTTAGCGGGCACTGATTCCCAGGAATGCACTGAAGCTGTCTCAAATTTTGGGGGGGAAAAATAAAAGCAAATAGAAAATGCAAAGTTTTTACAAGCAGGTGTGTTAGCTATGGCTACACATAACTCCATGTGAATGGTCCTGAAGCCAGGGCTTAAGTCCTTGCAGACCAGGAAGGAAAGTATTTTTTTGTGATTTGTACCTGTGACTATAGATGGTGGCCAGGCAGGTGGCAGAGCACAGAGGACCCCGGAGGCACGCTTTAGAAGACTCACTTTCCAGCCTGTGAGTGCTAGCTGCCTGAGGGCCACCACGAGTGGCCAGTGCATCAGCAAGCAGACTGATGTCACTGAGAAGGACCTCAGGCAAGTAATTTGTCCTTAGTTCCTGCTCTGTCAATATCGCTCTTTTCTGAACTGTGGCACTGGGTCAGCTGAACTGGCACAGCTATCACTAATAATTTTTTTTAAGCAAAGAAAACAATACCCATAATTTCACTTCAGAGACTGTAGCTGAAAACAAATTTGTAGACATTTACATACATGAACACGTTCTCCATGTTCCATTGTGTTGATACCCTCTCATTTAGTTTACCCCTTCCTGCTCAATATTTAGGAATATAATATGTGCACTAATATAAACAGTCTGGGATGAATGTCCTTGTCCTTAAATCATTGCCCACATCCACCATGCTGTCCTCGCCATAAGTTGATGGACGTGAGATTTTTAATTTTAGCAAGATGCACTTCTTCAGGTTTTTGTTACGTCGTCATGACGAAGTGTTCTGCTGAAGGGCACCTGTGCATGCCTCCTCTGGCTGACTGAGTGCCTCTTAGAAGCAATGATAATGATGGCTTCCATCAGGTCAGATGGGGTCCTGGGTACTTCTACAAACATTATTTTACTTTCACTTCATAGGGATCTTGAAAAATTGACATGGACTTTAAAGAGGGGGAAACTGAGTGATTTGCCCAAAGTTACTCTATTAGAGAACAGGAAGCTGAGCCTTGAGACTCGCACCACAAGAGTGTCCGGAGGGTCACTTGAAGGCCTCATCGTCCCCGGGCGCTCCTCCCCTCCACATCAGCTGTATTAAAATGTACACACACCCAACATAATTTATTCATAACGTATGTAAGAGTTCATTTGCAGTTGCTTGGCTGACAAATAATGTGACATTGTGGACACGTTTAAATATTTATTGATTTCAATTTTGTCGGGTGTGCAGTTGTTGGCCTGTTTGTCCTCAAACGCATTGATCACTCTTCCCTGCTCTGCTGATGCCTGGACCCCATGATTCCAGGTTCCCCTGCCAGCTGGTTCCCTGTTGGATTTGGCCATTGGGTGGCACAGGTGGGTGAGTTAGGGGAGGAGGAAAAGAGAAGCAAGGGTGTTGTCCTCTCACTTGGGTACTGACTGTACTTTGTCTGCAACTGCCTCCCACTGGTGGAGACTATCAGGATAGTCTCAGATGCCAACATGTGGGCTGCTCCTGGATCCGGTAACTGAACTCTTCCTTTCTCACTCAGGCCTGGGCATGGAAGTGGGTTCCCGCTGTCAATAATCTCTAAGTTGCTTCTCTCTCCTCTGCTGGTTTTTCAACATGTCCAATGTCTGTGGAACAAACTTGTTGCTTTTTGTTTTACAGGGGACTTTTTTTTCCCTGTTCTATTTTGTTATGGTAGAGCCAATTTTCTCAAACAGTTACATAGCTGTGGTCATTTTTAATACTTTGTAGATCCCATACATGGCTGTGGAAAGAATGTTTAATGATAAGCGTTCTCTCAATGTCCTTCCTGAGGCAAGATGGCAATAAGATGGACTGAGGAGCACGGCCTCCTTTCCATCTGCTCACCTACTGATCTGATCATCCTTCTGCTAACCTATGCATCTACTTCATCTCCTCAATCACCCAATCCTTTCACATTCATCTGTCTGCCTTCTCTACCAATCACTCACTCACTCACTTACTCATCTATCTAGTCTCCATCTATCCACCATCCATTCACTCATCCATCCACCTATCCACCAATTCCTGTAGCTATCCTTTCTTCTATTCATTCTTCCATACATCCATTCACCCATCCATCTATTCATATACTCACTCATCTTTTCATCTATCCGTTCTTCCTTGTATTCACTCATTCATCCATTGACCTACCAATCAATTCAACCAGCTATTCATCCATTCATCTGTTCATCTTTCCTTCTGTTCCTTCATCCATCCATCCATTCAAATATCCACCCATGTGTTATTCTGCTCACTCATCCATCCACCAACCCATTCATCCATCCATAAGTTTTTTCTATTCATTAAACCGCCAACTTACTCATTTATCTACCCATCCTTCCTTCAATTCATCCACCTATCCATTCACCCATCCATTCATCCTCTCACCCTTTCATTCATTCTTCCTTTTATTCAGTAAGCTAGTATTGCTCATATGCCAAGTACCCTGGGATAACAGAATAAATCACGCCCTTTATTACTCTACAGAGGTTTGCAGTCCAGTGAGAAAGATGGCCACGGAAAAGTCAACTACTTTAGAGGGTGGTAAGAGCCCTGTAGAGAGCATGATAAATAGTAGGTGCTCAGTAAAAGCATGTATTGAATGAATGAGTGAACAAGGGCTGCCATGGGAATGGTGAAGGAATGTTTTGGGCAGTAAGAGTGGTGACTACTTATGTGACTCAGAAGGAGGGACAACTTCACAGAAGAAGGGGCAATTTGAGCTGGTTGGGCACTCCCAGGAGGGACCCACATTTGAAATCATGGGGGAATGGGCAGCCCAAGGAGAAGAAATAATGTGTACGAAAGGAGGAGGTGTAAAAGAGTCACGTCATTTCAGTAACTAGAAATCTATAGAAATACACTATTTCAAATGTGGGGGCTTTTGTTGTGTATATATATATAAATAGATTATTTAACCAATCATTTATTTACAGATATTTATGCTGCTTCTAATATTTCACTATTAAAATCATTAATGAATGCTATTGTATCTATATCTTTGCGTCACTTAGCAATTATCTCCTTAGGATAAATTCCCAAGCATATGATTACTAGGCTAAAGGCATGCTTCTTATTTTTTAAAAAAAGTTAATTTCAGTTGACAAACTGCCTTCCAGAAAGGAATACCATTTTACATTTCCAACAACAGAGCATGAGAATGTCAATTTTCCCACATCCTTGCTATTTTTGATTTTTGTCAAACTTTTAATCCTTTCCAATATGATGAGTGAAAAAAAATGAGTCATTTTGATTTTTATTTAGCACTTTTGATTACTTATGAGGTAGAACATCTTTTTTAGGATGTATTGACTGCACATTTTGTTTTGTAATTTACCTCTCTGTGTTTACTGCTTAATTTTTTACTGAATACTGACTTTCCTTTTGGCTTATGAAAGTTCATTTAAAATTTTATTTTTTTTGGCAAATTAAGATTACTAAGCTTTTATCTGTAATACGTGTGGTAACTTTCCTTTTCTGCACTTTGCAGCTTCTAGTTTATGTATTTTGCAGTTCATGACTTAGTTTCATTTTTAGGCAGTCAAATCTATTACATTTTTTTAATATATATAAAGTTTCTGTCTTCCTTAGAAAGCCTTTCTCCAGCACAATATTAGAAGTTAGTTAGTTAACCCTATTTCTTTATGGTTTTAGTTGGAAGAAGTGAACTCAAGATCCACCTTGGTCTTCAAATGGCCAGTGGATTACACCAACGCCCTTGCTACAACTCTCCTTCGGTGTTTTGAGATGTCACCTTGAGAATCTACTGAAGGCCCGCCTGTAGGTGGAACTGTGTAAGAACTCTTTTTTCCAAAGCTTCCAAAATGTTGATATGTGTTGGCGTACCTTGTTTCTCGTAGACTCCTTCTTAGAGCCTGAATCAGTGGACCCAGATACAGGAACCTGCACTTTTGACAATCTCTCCAGTTGCTTTCTTTCCATTAATCCAGTGGTTCTTAACTGTTGGCTGCTGGTTATAATAATCTAAAGAGCACTTACAAACTGGGAAGCCCAGGCCACACTTCATCTAGACTAGTGAGATCAGCATCTCTGAGAGAGGCCTGTGAATTTGTATTTTTCTTAAGCTCTAGGGTGACTCCAACCTACAATCAAAAGCACGGTGTTAACCTGTGAAACGCACTTCACCCTGTTTAATTACTGCAGCTTTATTTTGTAATTTACTGGTTGAAACAGCAAGCTTGTCGTTCTTTTCTTTTTTGTTTGTTCTGCTACTGCTATTACTGTAGGTTTGGTTAATTTGTAATTGTCGTTACAGCTTCTGATGTTTATTCTTGGAAGTAGATTTTATAATAATCAGTTTCCAAAAAACGTTTTCTTTCTTAGAATAGATTGAATGGATACAATGAAGTTTAGCTTCCTGAACTTGGGCAGATTTCTGAAAAATCTGTGATCTTCAGCTTCATGATCTATCAATCATCAATGTCAGTACTTGCCAGTACCCCAGATCCAACAGCATTGTCCCTGGGCTACCTGAGTTTCAGGGCTCCCCAGAGAGCTTCCAAGAGGAAACCATACCTCACAGAGAGGTTCTCTCTGCCCTTCATCCCAACTGGCAGCATGACCTTGGGCAGGGCGTGTACCTTAAGGTCGCTCATTTGACGAGAGAGGGACCTGGAATATGATGTTCCCGGAAATATTATTGTTCCCGGAAATAATGTTCACTCAATCACTGAGGTAGCACTGGTTGTTGGCTAAGCCTGGAATGAGGTCTTGGAAGTTTTGAAAGCTTCCAGATGAATCCATAACTGGGAACACAAATTTGCATAATGTGCCTTTCAGTATTCTGTTCTTTGGATGATATCACTGTTGCACTCACCGTAATGGATATGTGCTTGGAGGAAGTGTCTTCTTAGGTGTGTGTCAGAGCTCAAATGCGTGTTCCTCTTGCTTCACTGTCTTTGACTGAGTATGTGCAGGTGCAGGCTTGGACTCGGGTGCCCCAGTAGAGCACAAGTCAATTCTAGTGCATGCAGTTTGGGTGGAGGGATGGAGGACCTTCCCAGGATGGGTCTCCAGCATCTTCCCCAGCTTCTCCAGCTGCCTACCTTCCCCCCTTGACAGCTCTGGTGCAGAGGATGCGGGCCAAGGACAAACTTCCTCCATGAAGGGCCCTCGAGCCTTCTTCCTTCCAGAGCTTGTGGTGTCCTCAGACACGTCCTAAGCAGAGCATTGGCTGGGCTGGCAGTTTTTACTTTGCTGTGTTAACTCAGAACCCGAAGTTTTCTAAGAAGCAGCCTCCTGATACATCAGGACTGCCCCTTTCACGTGCATGACCCATGGGCCAGATTCCTCTGGTGATGGCCAGAGGACCCACCCCAGGCTTTGGGGACACCTGAAAAATGTTTAAGGAAGGAATATGATCTGAGCTGAAACCAGATTGCTGTGGAGGTTAGGACAGATCAGGGGTAGACTCTGGAAGTGGGAAGAAGTGGGCTGCTGAGGGCAGACGGGGCAAGAGCATTGGTCCGGGTAAGAGATCCTGAGGTCTGGGTGAGGAAAAACAGTTGTCAGGGACTTGAGGTCACACAGTGAGTGACTCTGTAGAAGAAAAACTCAATGGCCCTGGCCCAGCACAAGAACCACGTGTCAAAGGTTCAGAGTAACAAGGACAACTTTGGAACATGGGCCTGTATTCTGGATTTTGATCATCTAATCTGGAACCAAGTCTTACCTTTTGGCTATGCCTTCTCCTCTTGGGGAGGCCCACCTCTGCCTGTGACCCTAAGGCCCTGATGCCTGGGGCTCCTCTTCATTTCTCTGGTGATCTGCCCTCGCATGTGTCAGTGTGTGTCCCATTTTCAATCTTTTTTAAATTTTTTCTGACAGTGCCTTGCTCTGTCACCCAGGCTGAAGTACAGTGATGCAATCTTGGCTCACTGCAATGTCTGCTTCCCAGGTTCAAGCGATTCTCCTGCCTCAGCCTCCCAAGTAACTGGGATTACAAGTGAGCAACATGGATTTCACCATGTTGGACAGGCTGATCTCAAACTCTTGACCTCAAGTAATCCACGCACTTTGGCCTCCCAAAGTGCTGGGATTACAGGCATGAGCCATCACGCCTGGCCCCTCTGTCAATCTTGAGTCTCCATGCATATATTCTGAGGTTACACCATAGACACTTTCAGGGGCCAGGAAGCTGACAAGCTAGAGAGTAAACACCCTATGAGAAAGTCACAGCCAGCCCTCAGGGAGGGCTTGGCATGATGCCCGAAGACTCCAGCAGGTTAAGTGGTGCTAAAAGGTGGGACCTTGATCCTGGATTTTCCCCACTGTGCCAAAAGAGCTGCTGTTTTACTGCTTCATGTGGCAGGGATGCGGGGCAGACATCCTTGTCACCGGGGTGAGCCTGGCCGTAGCCCTGACTTTATGTCCCATGGCTGGGGAAGCACGTGCTCTGTGGGCAGCACCTCTTCCCTCCTTGCATGGCCGAAGGCTGAGACCTGGGAGTGTGTTAGGATGTCCATTGTGACCATGCAACCATACTGTTTTCCACAACAGCTGCCTCTGCACAGTCTTAATGTTTTGCCCAGATGCCCATTAATGAGCCTGGGCACCCACAGTCCAGTGCTAAAACCATAGGTGCTCCCAGAGGCACTCCACCCCCAGGAGACCTGCCTTCAGGAGCTGCCTTGAGCAGAGACACAGGGAGATTGTGCTCTCCTTCCTGCAGGCCATCTGTAGCCTGTGACAGTCAGAAATAAACGTGTGATGCTTACTCTCCCCCCACAACCCAGAGTAACCTGGGACTGTGCACCCTCCTGGAATTCCCAGCGCTCTCAAGTTGAGGCTAGGATTCAGCTACGACCAGTCCTTGGCCTGACTCTTCTTTTGACCCCAAACTGCACCTCTCACTGGTTTCTCCTGAGGGCACCTCCCTAATAAGTCATTGGCCCCAGAATCCCATCTTAAGCTGTGCTTCTGGGGAACTGGCCTAAGGCAAAGAGAGGAGCTTAAGATTACATTTTTCTCTGACTTCTATATTTCCTAGCTCAGGACTTGTACTCAAGTCTGCTCAAAAACGGAGTCTTCATGTGACTAGCTGACCTGTGACTACTGACCAGTGATGTCACGGAAAGAGAGGGAGTCCCGTCTCCTGGCTGAACTTGACCCTGTCTGGGCGGACTATGAATGGCCGTAACTAAAGGCTGAACACTCACTGGAGCAGGGCATGGGACGTGGGAAATTCACATCCCCTCTGGTTCTCATTTTCAAGTGCACGCAAGTGGGGAAAACTAAGCCACTGGTTTTCAGACTGAAATGCATGGACGTTCAGTGGTTCCTGAGAACCGCTACAGGTAAAGGCAATCCAGCTGTGTGCAAGTGTCTGACTCCAGAACTGCCCCATCTCTGACTTTGGGCTTTGAGGAGATGGGTTAAGGGCAAACCTCGGGGAATCCCACCTGGCACAGAGTAGAGAAAGCATCTGGAACTTGTTATGCAGGAGTTGGCACGAGCTGGGCATCTCTCCAAGCTCAGGAGGTTTCACGGAAATTCCTAGATGAGAGATGTTTACAAGTTGTGTCCCCAGATAAACCATCATGTTTTCCCCTAAGAGGTCTCTCAAGGTCTCCATCGAAGCCAGTATGCTGGGTCATAACAGCTGTAAGCAGAGATGCTTCTGACCTCACTGATGAGAAGAGCGCCGACTGCCTAGCTTGTGTCATTAGGGGACTTTTAATGACGATAAACGTGTCTTCCTGCATTCTCCTTCAGCCTTGTCTACAAAACCATTTTCCTTCAGATTCTAAGGACTGGCCAAGGCACTTTTCCTATCCACAGTTGATCTAATAATCTTCTCTTTTTTTTTTTTTTTTTTTTTTTTTTTTGTGGTAGCTTGCTGAAGTCAAAGAGGCTCTGACCAACAGGAAATACTTGATCACTCCACTAAGAAAATGTCAGAGAAAGAGGAAATACCCACACAGACACGGGTCATTAAAAAAAAAAAAAAAGAAAGAAAAAAAAATGCACCTTTGCCGTTTTGTTGACAAAAAGCAGATCACCTTGGCAAAGGACATTCTAGAATCTCTCCAGGAGAATGGACTGCTTTTTTTTTTTCTCGTTTTATATATAGATGTGTTTTAGGGTTTTTTTTTTGTTTTGTTTTGTTTGTTTGTTTGTTTGTTTGTTTTTTTGCTTTTTGGCTATTTCGATTTGCATATTTGAAAACAACTGAAAAAGCAATTAATTCAAATCTAAATAACTTTCAAGCTCAGAATTACGTTTATGGTCTTCTAGCAGACAAATTTATGGGGACGTCTGGGGACCAGGCCTCTGACACAGAATAAGCATCAATCTCTCCTGGAGACTGGTCGCGGGTTTATTTCTGAAACTTGTGTGGAATGAGGGAGCAAATCTAGAGTGTTTAAGATCTAATAATAATCACACACTTTAACACATTCAAATCATGATATTTCAGGAGACAGCAACCTTGGCTTTGCTTATAGCTCTAAGCAGGGCTGTTCCCAGAGGAGGACCGTCCTTCTGAGGAAAGAAGACACAGAGCTGGTTACAATCCCAGGGAGGATGTCTGCACAGAGAGGTATTTTCCTTTCTTTCTTTTTTTTTTTTTTTCCTCAATACAATTTACACAGAAGGGGCTCGCTGCCAATGTGATAATTGAGAAACACCTGGTGAAAATGTCTCTCTATTAATTGACAATGGCTTTCTCCTCCCCAGTCCTCATCCCTCAGAAAGAAAAAATAAAAACATAAAAAAAAATAAAAGGCAAAACAAAACAAAAAACAAACAAACAAACAAACAAAAAACACGGAGGGATAAAAAGGAGCAACCAAGAGAGTTTGAGGCATATAATCTCCAAGGCCAAAAGGAAAGACATAATTTTCAAGGCCAAAAGGAAATAAGGCAGGAATTTGATGGGTGATTAATGGCCGTGCTGGAGCAGTGAGAGTGGTGCTGATGTCAGAGCCTCCAACAATGATTCCTCTTTGGAAAGAGGAAAAGGCAAGTGGATCCCAAAATAGCCATTTTTAAAAATCAGTTTTCTGAAACCTGTGATATTCTTCCTGAGTAAACTTGAAGCTCCAGAAAAGAGATGGTCCCTCCTGGAAGAAGCAATGAATGGGCTTTCCTAGTCTCAAATTCCATTGGACTTACCCACCTACTAGTCCCAAAGGATTGGCTGCATCCCAGAACCTCCCTGGACCCTTTGTTTTCACAGCAGCTCCTAGGAAAGCCCATCACCCAGAGAGCTTCATCAGTGACGATCTGAACACGTTGTGCACAGAGGAGATTTGACCAGCGGGAAGCTGGTCAAATTCATAACTGAAATTCGATGTGTTTTTTCTGTTATAATTGCGGTAAAAGATGTACTTTTGCAGTCAGTCTGGATCACTCCTGAGAAAGAGAAATAAATCCTATGTGAATTTCATTTCTCAAAAGAAGGTATGCAGAGTGCCAGGTGTGTGAACTCTCTTTGTATATCACTCCAATAGCAGCCTTATGTCATATATATAGTTGGTAGTCAAAAATTATTTAGAAGATGAAAGCAATGAATAAAAGATAATTGATTATCTCCTTAAAAATCTGTTGGTTCCTTATATAATTCTGGTTAAAATCCTAGAGCTGAGATTATTAAACTATATGATCTGGGAAATTCACATCCCCTCTGGCTCTAACCTTCAAGTGCACACAAGTTGGGAAAACTAAGCCACTAGTTTTCAGACTCAGACGTATGGAAGTTTAGTGGTTCCTGAGAAGTGCTTCAGCTGAAGAAGGGTTCAAGGGCATAGAACTTCCCCTAGCCTATACCTACTTCTCTTACTTAACTGGAACAATAATTCACATTTTACTTTTAATCACTGGGTATAATTTATAGACAATGAAATTCACCAATTCCAAGTATATCAGTTTGATAAATTTTGACAAACTCACATGGTTTGTAACTCCACCACCATCAAGATGTAGAATACTTCCATGACTCCAAAAAGTTTCTTCAGGCTCCTTTATAGTCACTCCTCTTTTCCTACCATGATCACAAAAACAACTGCTTTCATTAGTTTTTATTTCTTCTGGAATTTTATATCAACAGAATTATATAATATGAAAAAGTTTTATTTGTCTGATTTATTTCATTCCACATAATACTTCTGAGATTCATCCATATTATGGGGAGTAGTAATTTCTCTTTTATTGGTGAGTAATATCCTCCTGTATGACTATATTACAATTTGTTCACCCATTTTCCAGTGGATAGACATTTAAGTTGTTTCCAGTTTGGGGCTATTAGGAATATCGCTACTATGAACATACATGAAACAAGTCTTTGTGTGAAAGTATATTTTCATTTCTCTTAGGAAAATATCTAAAAGAGATTTTTCCATTATATGGTCATTATGTGTTTAGCTTTATAAGGAAGTCCCAAACTGTTTTTTCTGAGTGAATGTATCATTTTGTATTGTCAACATCAGTGGGTGAGGGGTCTAGTAACTCCACATACTGGTCAACTTTTGGTATTTTCAGTCACGCATGGAGTGGCATCTCATTGTGGTTTTAAATTGCATTTCTCTAATGACTAATAAAGTTGGGTGTGGTTTTATGTCTTTATTTGCCATTTTGTGTCAAGTCACGAAAGTCCTTTATAAGACTATGGCTGGAAAAGGACAAGAGAGAAGCCTCGTTGACAATTACTACTTATCTAACAAGCACCAAAAGAAGCAACAGCACTCTACCACTGGAGAACAGGCAAAAGCATGGTGAGAGACTCCTCCTGTGGTGCAGATGAGCAAAGATCATTTAAAATCTCAGGTTGTAGCAGTAATTCTGAGAAATATATTTAGGCTCATCAGCCCGCACCCAAGCACAAAATAATAACAACCCATTACTAATGGAAGTTAAAGACTGTGCATGGAGAGTAACCATGGCAACAATAAAACTAATTTCTGACTAGATTGACTCAAACCATACTAGCAGCCAAACAAAAAAAGAAAAATGTAAATATTGAGGAATAAATGCTATCTATCTCAGCAGTTCTATCTACACAGGATGGTAGCATTCAGTCAAAAATTACAAGATATGTAAAAGCTCAACACACACACACACACACACACACACACACACACATACACACACACACACAGTCTCAACAAAACATAATAGAAAACAAAAATCCAACTCATGGTTGGACCCATAAAAAACCAGGTGTAGAAACCATCAAATAACAATTTACCAATAACAGTGATTAAGGTGTAAAAGATCCAGTGGGAGAAAATGAACATATCTGTAATTAGATGGAGAAATTTCCACAGTTAGGGGGAAGCCATAAGAAAAAAGTCAAATGGATATACTAGATTTTTTTTTTTAATATATGATACCAGAAACAAAGTCCTTTAGTGGACATCAGTAGACTCAACACAACTGAAAGAAGAATCAGTGAATTTGAAGATAATTCAATAAAATTAGACACATTGAAACACAAAAAGAAAGATAAAAGAGTGAAAAGTAAACCAGAACAAAGCATCCAAAGTCTGTGGGACAATATCAAATTGTTAAATAAACATACAAATGGAATGTCATTGGAATGCCATAGAAGACAGAAGGTGCACTAAAAAAAGTATTTATTGAAATAATGATCACTTTTTAAAAAATTAGTGATGAACACCAAATCAAAGCCCCAAGAATTTCAGAGAATCAGTATAAATTACAAAAGATAAGGACAAAAGTGCCCTTCTACATACATCACTGTAAATCTGCAGAGAGAGAGAGAGAGAGAGAATTCTTGAAGGCAGCAAAGAAAGAAAAGACTCTTCAAAGAGAAAGAAAGAGAAGAAGAAAACTATAGCAGCATTCTTTTCAGTAACTATGGAAGCTAGAAGACAATGGAAAGGCATTTTTAAAGTATTAGAAACAATACTATTAACTCAAAATTCTATATCCAGCTAAAATATCTTTCAAAAATAAAAGTGAGATAAACACTTTCTAGACAGGAAAGAAAAAAACAAACCTGAAAGAATGCACAGTTAACCAACAGGAGCCAGTACAAAATATGTTAATGTTCTTCAGGCAAAAGAAATGTAATATCAGATAGAAACTCGGATCTACATATAAATGAAGATCTCTAGAAACAGTAAACATGAAGTAAATATAAAAATGGCATATTTTTTCTTATTTTCATCACTCCAAAATATAATTATCTATCTAAAGCAAAAATAGTAACAATGTATTATGGAATTTATGTAAAAAGGAAAATGCACCACAATAATAGCACAAAGAAGGGAAAAAGCAATTATGAAAATATTATCATAAGTGTCTTACATTATACATGAGATAGTATAAAATTTTGTGAAGGTGAGAAATTCAAGATGTATATTGAAACCATAGAGTAACTACTAAAAATTTTAAGAAAATGCGTAACTAATATGCAAATAGTGAAGATAAAATGAAATCATAAAATTACTGAATTCAAAAGTTGGCATAATGAGGAAAAAACCAATGAAACAAAAAGAGCAGAGCTAGCAAAATGGTACTATTAAATCCAACCTTATCTATAACTGCAATAAATATAATGGACTTAAATACCCCAATTAAAAGGCAGAATAAATTGTCAGATTATATAAAAAAGCACTACTACTAAAAACAAATACATGCTGTCTACAAGAGAACTACTTCAAATAGAAAGGCACAGATGATTAAAAATAAAAGAATGGGAAAAGGATTTGCCATGCCGACATTCATCGTAAGAAAACAGGTGTGAGTACCTTAATATCAGATATAGTAGAATTTGAAGCAAAGAGTACTGTCAATGACAAAGAAAGACACTGCAAAATAATAAGGGAGTGAATTCACCAAGAAGAAATAATTTTAAATGCGTATGCATTTGATAACAGAGTTTCAAAATAGGAAATAGCCAAATACAGAGCCACACATACATATGTGAAGTTGATTTTTTGGCAAAGGTGCTAGGGTAA